TCATAGTTTGAATGTTATAGAGAAGGAGATAACAAGTTTAGGCTGAAAGTTTGTATAAACCTTGTTTGAATATAAAAGGTTTAAAAGTGGCACTATGTTAATTTGGTTAATATAAACCTGTTTAAAGTTGATGTATTATTGCAAGCAGAGATTATTGACTTGAAAAGTGAAAGGTATTCCTATTATGTTCTTACTTGTTCATATATTTATGATATATATGAAGAGTTGTTTTACTTAAAGGTTTTGGTGATTTTCACCTGCAATGACATAAATAGGGTAACTCACTAGACCTTTCGGTCTAACCCTCGTTTTGTGATTTTAAATATGTATTGCAGGAAGTGTTGATGGTAAGGGAAAGAGAAAAATATAATAATTTCCCTATATGTTTATCTACATGAAGAATGGAAGATGATATGTATAGTTTTGGTAGATGAATGTGGATTAGTACAATAATTTGTATTTTGAATTTTGGACCATGTATTTTATACTGGTAGATTCTTGTATTAAGGGACCAATGTGGGATATAACATGTATTTCTTTTGTATAAAGTATGTGTTACATGCAATGTATGGTATGAGGTGTTACAGAAAGTGGTATCAGAGCCTGAGTTTAAGGGATTTAGGTATTCAACAGGATGATACCTAGACTTAAACTGTTTTATTGCATGTTAAGGGTCCCAGACATAGTTAGCACCATTGAAAATAAATATGATGAGTTGAAGAAACAGTGTGTAAGGTAAATTTTAATTACATCTGGCCAGTGTAATTATGAATTTACAGGTATATATATGAATTTAAATACTTCATCATATTTGGGAATGTGAATATGTGATTATTAACACTAAAATTTGCAGATGTCTACCCAAATTATAAGATCTGAAAGAACGGCTCGTCCAGAGTCTGAGGAAAGGGAAGAGTCACCTGTTAATCTCCTGACTGGCACTTCCAGAATTAAAGGTCGGGGAAGACCGAGGGGACGAGGCAGAGGAAGAAGTTAGTCTCAAGGAAGGGGTCGTACTGAAGTTCATTCTGAACCTGAAGAATCCCATTCTGGGAATGTTCAGGAAAGATCGGTGCCACACCCAGAATATGTGACCAGGGATATGTTGGCAGAAGAGATGGGAAAATTACGGGTAACTCTGACTTCTATCATGGGAGTACCAACTAGAGTGGAAACAGAGAGAATAGAAGTTAATCCCTCAGTACCGGTTACTCATAACAAGGAGGGAGATATTAAAATGTTTTTGGCATGTAAGTCACCAACATTTTCCGGGGAAAGGGATCCAGTAAAAGCTATATGTTGGATCAAGAAAATGGAATCTGTGTTCAACACCATTAGCTGTCCGGAAACAGATAAAGTTCGATTTGCTGTTTCAGTTCTGAAATCAAATGCTTTGTTCTGGTGGGAAGTTGAATCATCAGCCAGAACGGATGTTTTACAGACGCTATCTTGGACAGAATTTGTGAATTGATTTAAGGATCAGTTTTCTCCCAAAACAGCAGTGAGACAAATGAAAGAAGATTTCTGAAACCGGAACAGGGAAATGGAACAGTTCGGGAGTATACTAAGAAATTCATTGAGTACTCTCGATTTGCCGAACACTATGTTTCATCCGAACCCTGGAAGATAGAGAGGTATATCTGGGGTTTGAAACCCTCAATTAGAGACACTACAACAAAAACAAGTTTATAGGACACTTTTTTGGGACACTTTTCAAAACCCGTCCTTTAAAAAGGGCTAATACGACACATTATTTTATGAAACCTATTTGATTTAATTTAATAGGACTCTTATTTTTGATGTCTTATTAAGCTCTCTTAGTGTCCTATCATGTAGTCTAATACGACACTTTTCAATGTCACATTATTTTAGAGTCTAATAGGACACTTTTTAAGTATTGTATTATTTAAAAGACTAATAGGACATTTTAAAGTGTCATAT